GGGCCCCGGGTCCCGGCAGGCCGCGTAGCGCTGCACGGTGCACGCCGCGCGCCTCCCGAAGCCCGCCTCCGGCTGGAAGCTGCTCTCTCGCCTCTGGCCGCCGGCGTAGTACCCCGGCGAGTGGTCGCTGGGTAGGTAATCGCTCTGTGAATATTCCTCGCACGGAGGGAACTTGGGGTCGACATAGTTTGAGTTGATCAAAAAAGAACTCATAGCCATTAATTTCTGGGAATTGCCCACAAAATATACTAAAATTTATTCCGACCCCTGACTCGTTTTCCTGTTTCCGAAAGCCCTCCTACTTACTGTCAAGTGAACAAAGTTAGGGCCCCACGTGATCCTGGGAGCCAATGGCCGCCCCGCCTGTGATTCCCGGATAAGGAAATCTGCTCACCGGACCCTACTCCAGCCAAAGAGGTTTATTTCCCCTTCTTCTCATCCCCCTCCCCACACCAGGATTTACATAGGGCTCCTGAGGGGCGACCGCCTCCTCGCCTTGCTCTCTCTCCAAGATCGGAGGGGGAGAGACAGAGAGCAGGTTGCCACCGGAGGGCCTGTTGGGGCGCTGGGCAGAGCCCAAGCCCTGGATCCCCTCTGAAGTTGGGGCTCCCGCTGTAGCCCCTCCTGTCCTGCCTCCCCTCTGCCCAGCATTCTCTGCTTTCCGAAGGCCCCTATCCCCTCCTCGCTACGGGACCGAGCCCATGCACCCTGCGTCTGTGTGGGGAGTGAATTGAGGGGCGGACTGGGGGCTCTGCCCTAGACAGGGGAACCCACTTAGGGGCGATAGGCACTGAGCGTGGGGCTTTTCTCTGCAGCCGCATGGGGAGGGGTAGGGAGTGAGAGAGGAGGCGTCGGGAGCAAGCAGGCGGGTGCACAGAGAGACTTGTCAGAGATGAATGGAACCGCGGGCGGATCGATAGGAAATTCATGCACTAATTCGGGGAGACCTCGCCTTCCAAATCGCATTTAGCTGAGCTATTAGTTTGGCTGTGTCAGTCAGTCCGTCTATTCCCCTCGCCTATCCACTCCTCCCCTTACCCCACATGACCCAAACCGGGAGAAACGACTTGGTTTCCCCGCACTGAACATGAACGCTGGAGTAAAAAATCTGCAACTTTTGAGAGCACATTGAATAGCAATTTGCTAATCCATCGGAGCAGTACTAACCACGGGGTGGAGACGTCCTAATTGCCGCTAATGCCACCGCCTCCACAGCCCACAGAAATCTCACATCCTTGTAATGCTGGGGATAGAAGCCCTGGAGGTGAACCCCCCACGCACAAGAATACCCCTTGATAATCGAGTATTTCCAGGGCATCTTGTTCTGAACCCAAACGGAAAGGCGACCTCGGCATCCGTTTGAAAGCGAATTTCCTTTGCCTTTGCACACTGAAGACAACAGTCATTTTCCCCGGATTTTCAGGAAAGCCTTCCTGAGCCCAAAATAGAAAATAAGTGGGCTTGCAGGCAAGAGTAAAATAAAAACACCACCAACAACATTAACCTATTAAGAGAAGTGAAAGGGGACCAAGGCTTCCAGGGGCAGGCATGGGGAGATTTCAGGTAGATGATTCCTCCATCTCTAACCAGTTGTGGGAGGAAAAGAAAGAGGAAGAAAGGAGGAAGGAGTCTTCGCGGGGTCAGTCACCGGATGGTCCTCACTTAGAACAAATTTTTTTTGTTTTTCTTCAGGGGAAAAAAATGAGCGGAGTGTTTATGTCAACTACATATTCCCCTAGATACGAATTTGTGACCACAAAATTCCTTACACAAATTCGGATCTACAGGGTATATACAGAAGACAGACAGATCTTCTTGGCCCAGAAATTTTCCAGTTCTCTCACTTTCCGCGTGTTCTTCGTTTGGGGTGTTGTTTGAGTGCTTTGGTTTTATTTCGTTTTGTTCTGATTTTGATCTCTGGGAGCAGGAAAAGGCACTGGGGGTCCATCCTTAGGATAACAAGGTTGTCAATGCTCTTTCTCTTCTGTTAGAAGTAGAAGCAGCCGATCCCGCAAAGAGACGCGAACCTCGCGGCCTCCGCGAAACTCTCGGCGGTGGCGCATGAATTATGAGATGTAAACATTAGCTAAACACAAAAGGAGGAAGGGTCATCCTGAGGCTGCGAGCAAGTCAGAATCTGGCCCTTCTGGGTGCCCTCGCGCCCCTCCCCTCCCCCAGGACGTTTTTTTTTTTTTAAGAAAAACAAAACCCAAATCGGCTCCTCCAGTGCCCCTTGCAGCCTTTAGTTTGCGATCAAACGAATATCTAGATATTTTCCAAAGGTGCCTCTCAGCAAAGGGAGGGCTGGGTGTGAAGGGGGTGTCATAAAAGTCCTTTTGGAAAAATTCAATGGTAAAAAGAGAAACAGCTGTAAAGAAAAATGCTGGGAGACCAAGCAGATGGGGCCCCCGGATATTTAATGACGGGCAATTCCGTTTACAACCTGAGAAAAAGATCAAAGGCATTTCATTTCCCAATGAAGGACAATGAGGAACCATAAATGATGCAGCCAGATGATATTCCAGCCCCTCCTAGCCTCCCACACCTCCTGGGGCCAAAAAGGGGGGATAACCCCTGAAGTGTGAGGAGGAACCCCGTTTCCCCACCTCCCTAGCTCCAGGCAGGCTCTCTCTAAACTTGCTTACTCAAACCACCTGCTAGGGTTGCTGGCAGTGGGACCAAAATGGAGATCTGGGAAACCTGGGGGATCTGGGGTTTCGGAATGAATTTCCTGAGGCTTCCAGTAACCGCTAAATTTACTAACCTGGGAGACTGGGGGGTTGGACTGGAGCGAACTGAGTCTTATACTGTGAAAGGTGGAGAGTCTTCCCAGAGTGAGGGAAAGTGCACAGAAGCAGCTTCCACCGCCCCCAGACTCCCTACCCATCTCCCTAGACCTGAGAAAAACTTGTATCCCTAGTGAGTAAGTCAGGATAATTTCAATGTCATTAACAAATACAGCAACAACACAAACAACAACCCCCCACCACACTCCAGAAGTCTCTGCCCATCTCCAGTCCTGGGACCCTTACAGGTTGGTAGGAGGAGAGCTCCCACCTGCAACTAGGTCCAGAGACCCTCTTTTCTATCCCAAATCTAGATTGCCAATGTTGGCCTTCGGGCCTGATTTCTAACATCAACACTCTCCCAGCCAAGATCGACTCACATATATTTGAAAAAACACACACACACACACACACACACACACACACACACACACACACAATTATACTGTAGTTATCTTTGCCAACAGAGGGTCCAATAGGTCATCTCAGACCCCCATCTGGACACCCAGAACGACTGGAGTCTGGCCCTGGACCCACAGACAACATGCCTAAGTAGGACCCCCCCCAACCCCCCCCCCCAGAGTCAGGCAAGGATCTTTCCAAGTCTTGTCAAAGGCCACTTTGTCAGGAGCTCCACGACCCATTCCAACTGGTCAAGCCCCTCCCCCACCCCATACCGCCTTCTCAGCTCTCCCGCTCTCTGAAACCTGTTCAAACTCCTCGGCTTTTTAAGGAATTTTGGGGGAGCCGCTAAGCTCACCACCAGGCCTCTCTGCTGCTCGATACTTCACAAGGGATGCGGCCCAGGTGCCCGAAGCACCCCAAGAGAGAGAGATAGGAGGCAGATCCACTGCGGGGCTGGGTATGGCTGATCATTGAGACAGAGAGCGAAGATTTTCTCTGCGCGCTGGGCGCCGCCACCTGCCCTTGCCACCCTTCCCACCCAGGCGCCGCACCTCCCAATCCAGCAGAATCCAGCCGTGATGGGTGGAGGACAAAGTTTATCAGCGATTCCCAAGACGGGTTTCACCAGAGCAGGAGGCTGTCTCTTTCCTCCACCCCCAGAAGAATACTAACATCAATACGCATAATAAAAATAAGAAAGGGCAAGTGTTCCGCGCGCGTCCCGAGCCAGCTCCTTGCGCTCCAGGGTGACTAGCCAGCTCACCGGCCGCCTTCTTCCCGCAGCCACAGGTTGCTAGAGTGACCTCTCACTGCTCAGCGCCCTTCCGCCGCCTTGGGCGTGCCAGCCTGCGCGGAATCATCTACCTTTTGTCGGCGGGGAGGGAAGGACAGAGCCAGAGAGGGAAACCGAAGGGCCCAGGAGACGAGCCCCCAGCCATCTCTTGCATTGCACCCGCAGCGGCGAGGAGGAGTGGAAGGCCCAGGGAGGAAACGGGCACAGTACTCACCGGGCGGCTCCCCGCGCCTCCCGGCCGCCGACCCGCCCGGGACCCGCTCGGCAACAGCTGAGCTCGCTCTTGTCCACTATTGTGTGTCCGGAAAACCGAACCGCGGCTGCGGGAAGAGGAGCTCCGGGCCCCTTGGAGGCCGGAACAAGACTTTTTTTTTTTTGGTGTGTTTTTGTTTTTGAAGCGCAAGTTTTCGTATTAATCTCATACTTTGGCAGTCTTTGTTAAACAGCTAGGCGCGTCACGAGGCTCTCGAACATTTTAATAATTTTTAGACGCCGTGACCTGCGGTTCACCCCTCTTCAGGCCTCCCCCACGAGCAGCCAGTTACTATAATACGCTAGCGCACTTAGCTCGGTCATATTGAATTTTGCGCAAGTCATTACTTGGGAGAAAAATGACAGAGCAGGATTTTGGTTCAGCTCATCGTCTCCAGCTCACTTTTTGCCAGAACCTTCCCTTCCCTTCAACCCAACCCCCACCCCCAAAAAAGTCCCATTCGGATAGGATTCAGCCCACATGGCCTCAAATTTGATATTCCATCAAATTTGTCAGCTCTGGTTCCAAGGAAAAGAGAGAGAAGGTAGGATTCCATGGGGATTCCCTTTGTGGCCTGTGAAGGAGGTTGGCACCTGGAGAAATGGAAATGTGGCCTTGGGGATCTGGGTCCCAGAGAGAGCAGGCCTGAGAGAGAGCCCCCTTCCCTCCTGCCTCCCCTATAAATGGCTGCATTTGGCAGGGCCTGTATGCCAACCTTACTGCGTACTCCATGTGCTTTATTCTCTCCCCCAATGTCATAAATACCTCCCATTTCTGCCAAAACTTTGGAGGCTCCAGGGCTCCAAGAATGACCCCTCTACCTGAGGTTGGGGTGGTGAGATTTGGTCTGCAGGCCAGTAAGTTTGGGGAAGACAGAAATGCGGCTGGTCCAAGCTGGGGACTTGGCTTTCAGAGGCTTTAATTCTCCTTTAAAGACAAAATACCCTCTCCAGTTTTTGTTTAAAAGGAATGACCCCTCTACCTGGGGATGGGGGTGGGGGTGAGATTTGGTCTGCAGGCCAGTAAGTTTGGGGAAGACAGAAATGCAGCTGGTCCAAGCTGGGGACTTGGCTTTCAGAGGCTTTAATTCTCCTTAAAAAAAAAATACTCTCCCCAGTTTTTGTTTAAAAGCGTTTCTCATCTATACAGTAACTCCTTTGCCTACCCCCATCACCACCTCAAGGAGGTTCAGGGGC